CAGTACTGTATACTTGTATCAAGACTTGTACTGTTTCTCTGCTTTTTGCCCTTCTGATGGTAGAGAGATCAGATTCTGTGTGGTTCTCTTCTATACAGTTATATTCTGTGTCTTTTCAATTGAGAAACACATTTTATTGAATTTTCAAGGGGATTTTTTCCAAATGTTTATTAACTTGAGGTCTCACTGATACATGATGTGCATAGTACAGGCATATCATATTTTTCAGAGACAATTTGATTTTAAAAGTTTTGCCATTTCATGCCAAAAAAAGCAATATTAAATTTTTGTTTGCATTGAAAGCCAAATTATGGAAAAAGAAGAGAAACTTGCATGGAAATGTTGGACTCCATCCTTGACCCAACATGTGACAATGTCTGCTCCAGTCATGCCACCATTAGGACTGAAACCCACTCCAACCCAACCAGTGACCTGTGCTTGAACTTCAAANGAAACCCACTCCAACCCAACCAGTGACCTGTGCTTGAACTTCAAACAAAAGCTCTTGCTGTTCCTTGTCATAATTCCAAAACAAGTGGATCTTGCCGTCTTTGATTTTGTCCAAGACTGCATGTCGTGTCCATTGCGTGTCATCTTGTTTTGGTTTCACAGCAGCGACATCTACACGATGCCTATGATTAACACTGCTTGCGGAGGCCCTGGGCTGCGCATGAGATGCAGTAGCAGTAACAGCGATCACCACGAAAACAAAATATAAATTTGACATTTCCTCGCACTGCTCTTGACTGAAATAAAACAAAAAATTGAAATTGCGAGTAAAAATCTCTCCTTCGTAAGCAAGTCTCATGCCGTTGTTTCACAGCATATATGTTGGGGAATTTAGTCACTATTTTATTTTCTCCGTAACACTTGAATTTTTTCGTTTGCAGTGTAGTGACATCTATTCGGAAACCGGCAGATTCAGCTTCATTCGCAAAAGTTACAAATGCTGTCACTGCGTCTATTTACAATTGAACTCTTCGCATCATGTACGAGTAAATTAAATGTCATTAGATTCGACAAGTGACTTGTTGACCCCTGTATGAAAAAAATGGTCGCGAAACAGAAATATTTTTTTTTTTTTAAAATCTACTTAAATTGATTTTATAAAATTTTGAATATTCGAAATCAAGCGGGTCCGTGTTTTTTGACGATAATACTCAGAGTTTACGTCATTTTCTTCAACTAAGATAAACAATCACAGAACTGGATGAAAGACAGTTTCAGAATTTTGAACGTCAATCAAACTTTCGGCAGTCGTTTGAAAAAGTGGCCGTTGGTCGCCGCCATTCTCGGGAATGCCAACTTCAAGCTCTTTGTCATTTCAATTGGAACTCTTTCCGGGGATTTTTTCGTTGGACAATCCCTTGGTGGGAGTTCGTATTCCTGCATATCTGGGTATCCAGAAATGCTTTCTGCATCCTGAAAAAAAATGCAGTAGCAAAATAATCAAGTCGGGAAGAATTAAAATGCATTGGATTCAATAACGGGCATTATATTGCTGTCCCCAGGGATGAATTGATAATTTAAGTTACAGAGGTTAAAAACTTCTTGGTGAGGTTTTATTTGACAAGGTGAACTAGTGTAATTCACCACTTAGATTTTTTTCTACATGGAACTATACCTGGAAATGAATTAGATCAATGTTCCCCAACCCCTTTTGGGGCTTATAGGGACTGGCAAATTTTGATACACTCCTTTGCAGACTGGCCAATTTCAAAATATTTTCTACAGACCAGCAAAGTTGCACAAAATTTTTGCAGATGCAAAACCCAGTGCATATGCAATTAATGGCAACAACGAGTTATTTTTTTAGATTTATACACACTCATATTGAACCCAAGTGTACAGCTTTTGTAATGGATTAAATGGATGACCAGGATTTGAAAAAAAGATTAAGCTACTGAAATTAATGTTCAAAAAAGGCCCTGTTTCTTGACACAGATGCCAAAATACTTCATTAAGAATAATAATGACTTTTGATGAATGAAATAAATAATATCAAATAATCTTCAAAAATAACTAAGGAAGCAATAGTAAATTAAATTTGAAGCAACAGCAAGTTTTCTGTCATTTAAAAATATGTTGAATCATTCCATGATGAACTAAATCATTCATCAATTGAATGAAATGTTGAATTGAAACCAAGTGCACAGCTTTTGTAATGGATTAAATGGATGATCATGATTTTAAAAAAAGATTAAGCTACTGAAATCAATGTTCAAAAAAGGCCTTGTTTCTTGACACAGATGCCAAAATGCTTCATTCAGAATAATAATGACTTTTGATGAATGAAATAAATAATATCGAATAATCTTCAAAAATAACTATGGAAGGAATAATAAATTAAATTTGAATAAAAAACAAGTTTTCTGTCATTTAAAAATATGATGAATCATTCCATGTGCTGGTATATATAGCTGTCCATGAGTATATCAATGGTATCTCTAAGATGCTTGGAAAAAAGTATACCTTCCAACAGTTCCAACTTCCAAATAATCTTCAATTGCTATATCAACAGACTTTCAAAATAAATAAACAAATCTCTGGGAATAAGATGTCATTTTTACTGAGGCCTCAGTCTAAGCATATACTATAGAGACTCCAGCGTTTTCAAGCTATAAAAAGATGTAAAAAGTACCTGGATCACGTTACTGCCCTCATTGAGGCAGAAACCAAAGGACTGGCTTATTTGCAGAGCGGCAATTTGCTGGAACATGTCAACAGTTTCCTGGCTCCACGGGGCGTATTTATTATTCAGGTATTCTTTCCAGGTAGTGTTCTGGTCGACCATCCAGGTGAGGGAGTTTCTATAGAAATAAAAATCGAACACAAAAAAATGAAGAAAATATTAAAAGAGATGATTCTCATTTCCCTTGATGTATTTGAAGAAGGTAAAACATTGTTGAATTTTTGTCTCATATGCATATAGCTAAGGATACAGCATCTATAGTCAATTTTAACCCTTGGGCGGCAAAGTCGTACTATTTTTGCAAAATTTCGTTGCACCTCAGGGCAGAAAATAAAAAAAGGACAACAGGGATTTGAGGACAAAGTCGGGGGAAAATCCGATGTTTTTTTTCTTTTTGCACAGAAAAATTTTGTGGTAAAATGAAAAAAATGCTATGCTAAGCAATGGGCTTTTCTCGGATCAATCCCAACTTTGCCTCAGCCCACCTGGAAGGTCTTTTCTGACCTTCAGAAAAATTAAAATGCCTTAGCATACAAAAATAATCCGATTTCGGCCAGCAATGGGAAAGAACCCTTCACCGTCCAAGGGTTAAACCTGGAAATTGATTTTCTGTTTCAAATTGTCAATGAAACCTGCCTTTGAGAAAGCCTATAGTCCTTAAAAAGGGAAGCCCAGAAAAAATTGCTTCAGCAAGAATAAGTAGACAGGTAAATATTTTATTTGGAATAAATTAATGGCCCAACATTTAAAGTCAAATGGATGATGGTCATTTTTTTCAACATAAATTGCTTTCACAATGGGACTTTTACCCAGCAGGGACAGGGTTATTATATACTATAATAGCAGTAGAATACAGCCACCCCTGCACAACAGGCCTCTCTCGCAATGGATTTTTGCACAACAGACCACCTCTGGATCGAGGAGGTTTTCCTATTCCCACTCAACAGACTAAATCCGCATATCAGACTTCTGTTGGTTTAAAACTTATGGTAAAAAAAGTTTAAAACAATTTTAATGATTGAATGGGCATACAACAGACTTCTCACACAACAGACTAGTCTGCTGCAAAAATCAAGTCCATTGTGCAGGGGTTGACTCTACTGCTTATTGCTCCTGCTCTGCTTTTTCTCATGAATTGTGTTCATTCCATTTCATTCATATATTTAGTGTTCTCAAATAAGAGAGTTACAAAGTCCTTAATATCCAAATTGATTCACCTTTTACTTACTTTAAAATTTCAGTTAGAAAAGCTTTTTAAATTTTTATGATTAAATTGCATCACTTCAACCTCATACAGAAATAATCATTTTCACTATAAACTTATTTGTATATGAAGAAAAGTAAAAATGTGTCAATTGTTTCTTGTAACTGGAGAACTGATTCCAAACAGTAAGGTGTTTCTTGAAGTTTAGATGGGTTCACCATGATGCAATAACCCTTAATTGCAAGTACAGTAATGTTTTTATTTGTATATGCTTTGGCAGTACTTACCCATCAGCAAATAGGTCAGGAAAGCCCATTTGGGCCTGCATCAAGTCAAAGTCAAAGAAAGTGAAACACCGCATGAGATCCGACCTTGGATAATAGGACAAAAACGCCAGACACATTTCATCATCTGTGCCCCAGCCCCCTGTTGTCACTCCTGTCCTTGCTGTGGAGTCCAAGGTGCATTCTGATGGGGAATACCAAAATATAAATAAAATAAGATCATTCCAAACAACATTGGTAAAATGCGTTTGTCTTTGAGTGATCACTGATAGGAAAATCCAAAAAATGATGTGCTATTTTCTCAGTTGACTGGTACAGGTGGACTCTACAACATTCTTGCATTTAATCATATTCTCTGTACATCAGTAAAATGAATTATTTGTGGTCCTGTCTGGGGTTCTCTTCCCATGTTATATAGGGGTTATATCAGCGTTCCCTAACCCATGCTGGTCCTTGGACCAGATCCAGTCCACAGAAGTTTTTTGCTGGTCTGTGGGAAATGTTCTCAAGCATAATAAACTTATGAATAAAACTATCAATGAAGGATGTTAAAGTATCTTTATTTGAATTTTTGCAAGACAATTGCAGTTAAAATCATTTCTTGAAAATTAAGCTGGCTTTTTTCCTAATAAAACTTGAAACAAATTTTCCCCCCATGAAATAAATGATTTTAATTTTTCATTCTGAGAAATTTGTGTTCAAGCCCACCTTTCTAATTCTTTAAAGACATTCCACTATACCTGCTTCATTGGTTCTCAACTTCATTTTTTTTTTGCTAAAAAGCAGAGACTTTTTCAGTACCTGCCATGGATGTATTTCAGGCAAATCTTTTTGAGTGTGCAACAATTTTTACAAAACTTTGCCAGTAAAATTTGCTGGTCTGCAAAAAATTCAGCACAATTTGCTGGTCTGTGTGCCGAAAAAGGTTGAGGATGAACACTGGGTTATAGATTATATATATGTTAGGAGACAAACTTCAAAGGAACAGGACAAAATTTGATGTTGAGAGAATTGCTTTGAATTGAAATGAGTCCATATTTGAATCTAAACCTTGGAAAGAATTTAAGTTGAAAATTGACATTTCAGGGGAATAAAAAAACACAATGGAGGGAAAAAACATTTAGTCATTAGTGACTCACCAAGTATGAAGATGTCGCCTGGCAAAATTTTCTTTTCTTCAGGATAAACCCGGGTTTCTTGGAAATCGAAATCGTAATGGTCATCAAACTGGAACCAGGGTTCTTCCACGCCATTTCTGATCAGCCGAAGTTTCATTTTCCTTCCTGGAAAACGAAGCATCAAGTATTGTTTTTTATTCCCAATAAATAAATAAAAAACATTGTACAGTACAATAAATTACTCACCCAAGAGATGAGAGTGAAGCAGGCCTGCAAATACTGAAACCCCTTCTGCTGGGAACCCATTTTGGGTACAAGATGCTGTGCAGATTGCAGAAGTTTTGAAACTTTTTTGGTTTGGTGGGATTATCTATAGAGAATAATAAATGTGATCCATTTTATTACAAAATTTTATTTGTAGAAGTATACTGTGTTTATCTGTGTTCTTGTCCACTGCAGTTCCCTTCAAACAAGGCTTAACCAAAAACACATTATTTTCCTCCTATAATGAAATATAAAAAGGTAATCTGATTGCATTCCAGTTATTATAAACTTCTGATTGTAGAATTAAGAAAATTCACATTTAAAGTTTCAAAATGAACAGCTTTTTTCACATTTAAAATTGTTCATCATATGAATTTGCAAATGCATGGTGAATATTTCTATCCATCACAAAAAAATTGAGATGAATTTAAATGGTTAACCTGGAAAGGTGTGACAGTTATCCCAAGTTCCAAGACCCCCATTTCTTGTTGTCTGATGATATCAGTGTGGTAAACCCTAATTCCTGATGAATCCCTGAAAGTTTGGAATGTGGGATTGTTGTAGTGCATCTCCAACATGAAGAAAGCAGGTCCATCACTCTGACGCTTCATTGGAAATCCAACATTCTCTGGATACATTTGGCCCTATTATTTTCAAAAAATCAATTTTTAGCAATGTTTTACAAAGATAACTTCAACCCAGCACATCATTACCCGAGTGGGGAGCTATTTTTGCTGTGACCCCACAGTAGGTGCACACCAGGGTCACAACTGGCGCAAATGGGATATTCTGGGGTTACAAGTGTGCGCTCCTGTAGAGGAAATTTTGCTACCATTCCAGGGTTACACTTGGTGCACAAATGTGAAATAACAGGAGCATCACACAAATCCACCAACTGTAACCTTGGTGTAACTTATTTGTTTA